CACATGATAGTGGCTTCTCTCAAATGTCTGATAACCAATCCTTGGTTGTCTGCTCATATTTAAGAACAGGACAATAAAATGCTGATTGGAAACTCTGAGTGACTGGGTGGGGGGTTTGTCAGCTATAAACGTCTCTAAAGAATTGTTTGGGTTAATAGGTGGGGAACCTCCCATGTTAATATCTTCAGATCTTTTCTCTTGGGTTGATCAGATTCCACATAGAAGGATCTTCTAATCTCCTCCTTGGAAGTTGAAAGGCTGGCTGCTGGAATCTGGGAGCCAAGTTGGTAAAGATATCTGGGAGCCTCAGCAACCAATATACAAATGTTCACTTAATTCCCCTACCCTCTAGAGATCTCCTGCTTTACCTTCTGCAGAGAAGTTTGCAGTAAAGCCATTTAATGGCTTAAATAATAAATGACACTAGCAAGGAGAATACTCTTTTTACCTATGAACAGAGAGGAAAGGCAAAATTCATACCAGGAAATCCCCTAAAGGTGAGGGATTCTTGCTGGCTGATCAAAGAGAATGAGGAGGGGATCATTGGTGACTAGCAGAATCTGGCTTATGATAAAAGTGGAAAATCTTGGCTTTTAATTCATCTTTGATGTGAGTGCCATGAACTGAAGGTAATACTTCTTATTAAACTAATTGTTACATAAAATTGTTCCCTTTAGTCCCAAGGGGACAGCTGTGGAAAAGAAAGCACAGACTCCTAGCTGCTCTCCTACAGAGCAGGGAGCTAGAAGGGAGTCTATTAGCCATTAACCTTGGTTCTAAGGGGAAAAACGTTAGGAAGCCAGTCACTTCATCTAGATAGCAACTTGCCCCTTGACTTGATTGGCTCTATTCTCTCTCCTCCTCCTTTTCCTTCTCTGAGCTTTCTAGAATTCTTGCCTTCTGAATGAGAGGTCAAGTTCAAGTCATTCTCCCAAGGGAGCAAACAGCATTGTTTTGGCTGCTTTTTCTTTTGACTGTAAAGGTTTCCTTGGGCATTTCAGGTCTCCCTGATTTTTTTTGTGTGTGTGTTTTTGAGTATAGAGTGGCAGGGTGGGTTTGATATTTTCTGTTCCTAAACAGCATTTAGCACCATGCCTTGCATGTAAGAAGCGTTCATTAAATATATTTCAATATTGATTTATTGATATTAACTTATACTATAGCAACAGTACTATTAATTATCACTGAATTTGTGTTACTGTTTCTCTCTGAGCTTTTTAATAAAGCTTTCTGGCTTTATCTGGCAAGGTCAGCAAAAGCCCAGAAATTACTTACAAATGACACAACTCCAGTTTTTATATTCTATTTGTCTTCCACATATGTCCAGAGTATTATAGAAAATCCATTGGTGGGGAAGATATTCCCCTATTAAAAATGATACATGAAAAGACTGTATTACAGGATAAGAAATATATTCATGTTTAATGTCAAATGACTGATAGATTTAATTCCAGCCTACCTTTTTTGAGTGTGTACTATACACCTGGCACTATGCTAGGGGCACAGTACAGGCAGATGCATAGCAGTCCCATCCCTCAAGGAGTGTTTAATCTAATGAGGAAAATAAAGTATGTAACAATATGGGCCATAATAGAAATGAAAAACTTCAGTCAGTCCCTCAAAGGAGTGAGGGAGCCCCCATGACCGAGGGTTTGGGCAGACAGTAATTTCTTCCTCTAAATTAGTTGTATGAGAAGGATGAGAAGAAACTGGCTCTCCTTTTGTCTTGAGATGGGATTATATGCCTTCTCCTTTCCCCAAGATTTCTCTTTAGTTTTACCACTGAGAATCTTTCTACTGGTATGGGGCCTTAAAAGTTCTACTCAGACTTTTCATCTTGATGTTTAGGTCTTTGCTACAAAAAATAGCCATTGGGCCTATATCGCTTAGAACACATTAGATTACAAACAGCAGAATACTCTAATCCTGTTGGTTCCATCAATGACGGTAGTCCTGGGTTCAGAAGCTGTGATCAGTGACTCAAAAACATTACCAAAGCATACCTTTTTCTGCCTATGCTTTCTCCATGTCTGCTTTATTTTCACCTGGCCGGACCTGGTGGTTGGAAGATGGCTGCCCAAAGTCTAGAGCTTCCTTGATTTTTTTTTTTTTTCTCCTGTAAAATATGATTGTGATATTCCTTCACATTTTTTCATTGTTTTTATGCTCCTGGATTTCTTGAGTACGTGCAGAAAGAGGAAGTTACCTCTGAAGCTCTCGGAATATGAAAAAAAAATAAACAAAAACTTTCCCTAAAGCCCCCAGCATTGGCCCAAATTGTCATGCACATTGCCAACCAGTAACTGTAGCATGGAATGGGACTGTGCTGCTTCATTTAGGTTGGAATTTTGCTCATTTGCTTGGAATGGAACCTCATTCTCCAGTAGGCAGCCAGGCCAGGGATGTGATGCTAAGAAAGGGGCTAGGTGTTTACCTAGATAAGGGGTAGTAGATACAGGGAAGGTTACCACAGGATCTGGCCAGGTGCAGGGTGTAGCTGTTGAGAACGTAATGGAAACCCTTACCCCCAAGCTACAATTGCCTTCTTCCGCTGGGCAGCTCTGTTTGTAATAAAGTACAGTTATTGCATATTTGCAGCTAAGTCTATCTCCTTGTTTCCATGCAAATCTGGGCTCCAATGGCTCCTTCTTGCCAGGATGTTGCCCTCAAGGCGTTGGCTGCATTTTTCAATTCGTTACTTTGTATATGTCATCTTTCCTCACAGTGTTTCTTCCGCCTGGGGCTTACTGGTCTTTACTGCATTCACTGACGCAAAAGAATCAAAACATTGGCTGCTATTGGAGAAAACCTTACTTTGACGTCTGAATAGAATGAAACTGAGGTTTAGTTATTTTGTCCTCTTCTTACTCCGTTTGGGGTTCCTCAGGCTAAGTTCAGTACTTGCGCCAAGACTGCGACTTTGTGACAGAACCTCTCTGGGCTGTCTCTGTAAAATGAAAGGACTGGCTTGATACATTTACAAGAACTCGTCCTGTTGTGCGATTCGGTGGCCTCTTTTGGGATTCGGATGGGAAGACAGGATTGTAGTCCTGGACGCTTCAGTGAGTGGAGTGTTTGGGAACCTGAAGCCCACGTTGCTTTGTGTGGTTTGAGGAAGGTTTTGCCTCTTCTGCATTCCGCTCAGCAACGAATTTGACCAACCGTACCTACTCCAAACGCCGACCGAGGTGGCCGGTCTCCTTCCCCACACACGCATCTTCCAAGCCGAGCCCTACGCAGCCTCCCAGGGCCGGAGCCTTCGGGCCAGGCCGAGTGTGGCATCCAGCGTCCAGCGCGGCTTGCTCGGGAACGGAAGCCTTTCAGGGCTCTGCGGCCTCGGGCTGGGTGGCCTGGTCAGCGGATCCAGATGCGCCCGCTGAAGCGTCTCCGCCGCTCCGCTTCGGGGCGGGAAGCCGGAGCAGGACGAGCCCGGGGAGATGCCACGGTGCCCGCCTACCCTCTCCCCGGGGCCCGACCAGGCGTCCTCCCAGGCGGCCTGGCCCTGCCTCGCTAGGTGTCTGCGCGTGCCTCCCGCCCGTCCCCAGCGGCTCCAACTCCGGCCCGCCTCACCCCACCGCGGGCTTTGTCCGCCAGCGGCGCGCCGGCCCCTCCCCGTTCCCGCAGGCTCCTCCCCGCCCCCTCGGCTGGCCCCACTTCCTCGGCGCAGGCGGCAGGAGCGGGCGGAGGACGAAGGGGTTAATCCGGGGCTCTTCCCGGCGCGGAGGGATCCAGAGCCGAGCCGAGCGCGGTGCTGAGGCCGCCTCAGCGAAAAAAATGTCCGCCTGAGGAGACCCACAAGTTCTATCTGGGGGGACCGCCAGCCCGCCCCGGGAGGAAGGGGCGGCCAGGCCTGAGAGCCGCCTCCCCCGCCCGGATCCGAAAGCTCGCGCGGGGGAAAGTGAGCCGAACCGCCGGGCCGTGCAAGGGGAAGTCCGAGCCCGCTCTCCCGGCCAAAGTGAACTTTAATCGGGGTGGTTGGATGCGGAGACGGGGCGGCAGGTAATTGCGGGCCGGCAAGCGGGAGGGGACGCCGTGTTGGGGCTGGGGGCTGCGGAGCGCCGCCGCGTCCCTGCCGGAGCGGAGGCGCCCCCGGCCCGCGCCCCAACTCCGCGCCCCTTTGTACAGAGGCGAACTCGGGGTCCCCTCCAAGTTGGGGAGCGGAGTGGGGGCGGAGGTGAAGAGTCGCTGGCGGCCAGGCCCGCGGGCGGCGCGCTCGGCCTGCGCGCCCCGCTCAGCGCTCGGCTGGGGTTCCGGGGCGCGCGGGGGAGCGGATTCTTCGGCTGCTGAGCCAGGCTCATTGTTAGGCAGGTCCGGGGCCGGCCGGCCGCGGGCAGGGCAGCAAAAGTGGGAGGAGGCCGAGCCGGGGGAGGAGGACGCCGGGCAAGAGCGGGGCTAGTTGTCGGTGTTTCTGTTTTCTTTTTAAAAACGCCCCTCGGACGCGCGCGGGGGAGGGTGTGCTTTCCGACCCCCGGGGCCCGCGGGGGACATCCGGGCGGCGGCGGCGGCCGCAGACGCGGGCCTGCGAGCGGCGCGTTCCCTGCAACTTGTCAGTTCTATTGTTGCCGAGCCAGAGAGTCACTTCGCTACTCCTCTCGCCGCCGCTCCGCTCGCTGGATGCCCAATCGCCCCTCATCCCCGCCCCTCGAGACCCCCTCCCCGGCCGGGCCCCGCGCGTCCGGCACCCCGCGGCTGCGCGGGGTAGGGGGCGCCGGGGAGGGGGCAGGGACGGGCTCGGAAACTTGCGGGAGAGGCGGCGAGTTGCGGGAGGCGCCGCGTAGCTCCCTGGCCGGGCCGAGAAACGCGTGGATTCACGGACCCGGCGCCGGGCTCTCCTGCCCCCTGCCCGCACGGCGGTGGGGAACGAGTAGGATATTGGAAGGCAGCCCGGCGTTTTTACTCTTCTTCTACGCCCCTCTCCATTCCCGTATACACTTTGGGCCTCGGTGGTCTCTCGCTGAGCCTCTTTCCTCTGTCTTAGGACCTGCTAGAAGTGGCCGAAGATGAATCCCCAGCAGCAGCGCATGGCTGCTATAGGGACCGACAAGGAGCTGAGCGACCTGCTGGACTTCAGTGCGGTATGAGAGCTTTCTGCGGCATCTTGGGGTTCCGCTGAGGTTTACAGAAAAAGAAAGAAAGGGGAGAGAGCGACGTGGAGACTAAGCAGCGTGAACTCCATCTGCTTTGAGCAGTAGTTCTCAGGGCTGGAGTCCAGCTCCCCCAAGTTGGACACCTGAACTTTGATGTAATGTCTAGACTTGCAGATTTAAAACTTTAATGCCAGAGGGGTCATTTGATTTAGCCAGTTAAAAGGAGAACAGCGTAATCTTGAGCTTTGGTTGAGTCATCCTCTGACCCTGATGATTATTAGGGATTTTGAACTTCATATGAAAAAAAATTGTTTTTTCTTCAAGACACCTAACCATTTCCCTTTTCAAGATGTATAGTTTATGGTACCTGAAAGATGTCAGTTACAGGAAAGCTAGTGAAGGGCTAGGATTCCCAGTCTTTTGGCTTGAACCATTTTAATATAAATATATATGTACTTATATATGTGTATATTGTGTGAATATATGCATATACAAGAAGTACATATGTGTATGTACATTTAAAATTTTCTTAACATGGGAAATAATTGAGTGACTTAAAAATATCAGCTGGCCCCACTGCCCTTGTTTCTAATGCGTTGAATTCCTTTATTAACTGCTGGTACAAAGTGAAGATCATTGACAGAAACTTCCACTTAAACTTAATAATCTTAGAATCTCTCATGTAACTGACTGGGTTTTCAGAACAGAAGATAGCCAGTATTTCCAAATAGTGTGAGGAAATAATATCACTAAATGTATTTGCTTTTCTGGGTATAAATGTATATATCCAATTTTATTTTAACTTCCCTCTGAAATACAGCAACTAATTGATGGCTCTTGGTGGACTTTTGTTTGCAAGGAATCTAGAAGAATTTCACAACTAACAGATGCGTTTGGATTATTTTGCAGATGTTTTCCCCACCTGTTAATAGTGGGAAAACCAGACCAACGACACTGGGAAGCAGTCAGTTCAGCGGATCAGGTAAGATCATGTCTAAAATCAGAAACTCATATTTTGGTGGTGTGATGTCTAGTTAAAACTATAAACAAAAACAAACAAGCCCCAAATGTGGGCTGTTCCTTTAAGGATCCATTGACATTTCTTCAAGAATTTCAATATGAATTTAAAAAGTTGTTCTCTTTTCTCTGAATTTTTAAATTGAAAATTATCTTGTTTGAGTGCAAGGGATTATAGCATGCCTCTGTATTTAGAAAAGTACCAGAAGAAAATGCTCTTTGGTCCATGTGTAGTATTTTTTTTTAATTGTTTATTTAAATATTTGTATTTTAAAAATTTTCTAAATTTTAGCCCATTAATGTTATTAAACTTTTGGATTCTAAAGAATTGGTAAAATAATGTTATTTAAAATATGTATATGAAAAGTAGAATTGAGTCAAGCAGTAATTAGTAACACTTATTTTGAAAGATGGCTATTCCTTTTGGAAGTCTTCAGGAAATTAACAATTTTGTGCACAGTTATTTGAAATGTTACAAATAAATGAATAGAAAGTTAGATGTACTTTCAAATAACACAGATGATTGAATTCTATCCTATGTTCATGTTACATTAGGATGTTTAGAGTAAGTTAAATTAGATTCCTAGTTCTACACTAGTGCTTTCGTCCTTAAATTTACTTTCTGTATATTTATAACTACTCTACTCCATTATTAACATTTATCCCATATTTCTTAAGTGTGCATTTTTGGTTTTTCTTAGTTATACTCATGATTTTAAAAAAATAAATGTTCCAGAAGCAAGGTCCATTCTAGTGTACAAAAGCTAGCATTTTCTGTTTAACTTAGATTTATTCCTTAGTGCTGGAAGAGGTAAAAAAAAAACAAAAACAAAAGCCAAGACAGCAGCATAAGAAAACCAGCTGTCAAATCTCTAGGCTGAAACTCAGTAATTCCTCTTTGACTGGTGCTTTTTTATTTCCCCTAGTAAAATGATAGTTGACTTCTTAAGGTACTGTGGGAGCAAAACATCAGAAAAGAAGGTTAATTTCATAACCAATTTAACCCTTTATACCACTTCACGTTAAAACAAGTTTCTATTTAAAAATCATACACTACCTTAATTTACTAAAATTCATTTTTAATGATGAAATTACAACTTAAGGAGAAAGTATAGCATGTTGTTTAACATCTCAAATAAAAACATTTTGAATTTTAAATATCCTAAAGACTAATATTATTCTTAATCAAAAGGATATCATAAAATGTCAGCCAAACCCCAGCTCTTCTCCCACCTCTATCCATTTATTGGTAGTGGTTTGAAAATCATCGCTTTTTTGGGTTGAGGAGAGAAAATTATTAGTTAATATAGAAGAAGGCTATATTCTCTTTCTTTACTACTGTTTTGAGTACATGTCAATTTTTGCAACTGATACATTCTTGGGAACTTTCAAATTTTCTTTGTCTAATACATAGTAGATGCTTAGTATATTTCATTAAATGAATAGTGATATTGCTGTTTCAGACTGTTAGCTCTGACTTGAATTGTAGAAAATATATTTAACTGACATTCATTGATATCAAGGACATGAACTTCAGAAACTGGCTATTAGAAATACTTTCTGTTTTTAGAATAAGGGCAAATATATATTTTTTACTTTTTAAAATTAAGGTATGATTTATGTAGTCTAAAATTTAAAAAAAAGTTCAGTGAACTCTAGCATGACATTGGAACAGTTGTGGGTCCTTCTCTCTGTAGCATGCATTATACAAAGAAAAAAATTATTTTTCTGCATTGTAGAAGTGTTCATAATGTTTGATTCTTTAGAGCAGGAAATTTTTAGCTTTAAAACTGTTAGGTTTTTTTATCTGTTGAAAATTTGAACTTAAATATTTATCTGTGTGGTTTGTTCTAAATTTCAGGAAAAAATTGTAATTAAAAAAAGCTATGACCTCTAACAATCAGCGAATGGATTTAGATTTGGGGGGAAGGGAAAATAGCAAAGCAGTCATCTTATATGAAAGTATACTGGTAGATATGGTCCTATAGCCATTTCTTATCTTAAAGGAAATGTCTGAAAGAGGTTGGTATGGCAATATTGTTTTATCTGTATATTTTATTGACACTTTAATAATCTTCTGACTTCATGTCAAAGGATATGTAATATGTCCAAATGCCTGATTATTTGCAGTGTATAAGGAGCTAAAGATCTGACTTTCCTTCTGAAGAGGTGACATAAAGATTAGAGTTACCTTGTTTTTGAAGTAACATTTGCAAAATCCCAAGCCTTTTGCCTCATGAAAACTACAGTTGTGTGTATAATTTTCTTTATTGATTGTCCTTTTTGAGGATGACTTAATTTCAGTGTATATGCTATAGTACGTGATGTTATTTTTAAATCTTATTCCTAAAGCGATATATAACTTGTAAGATAGCCGACACTTCATCAAAAGTCTCAATGGAAAAGGCTAATATGTATTTTCTGTTACTTATTTGTCTTGAGGAATTTTTATAGTCATATTTTTTCATCAAGGGTGTTAATTTTCTTTGCATTATGATACAACTGTGAATTTGTCTGTTTGGTATGATAGAAGCTGTGAGGTATTCTTATGGTGACCTTGAGACAGGGGTTTTTCTCTGTAGGAGTTAAAGGTGAGGCACTTTTGTAGGACAGTGTATAGGAGGAAAGCTTGTTGAAAGGATTGACAAACTGGAAATAGTTCTGGTGTTTAAATCCACTGTCCCCTCCAGCTTCAGGGATTGAGTATGGAGAACTAAATTGTGATATTGGGTTTAATTTTTCATAGTTTAAATGTTTACATGATATCTGAAAAATTTCCTTTGTTAGTTTTTGAATCCAAGTAACAAGAGATGTTGGAAGGGAGTGGGATACATTTATTTAGTAAGCCATCTATATATATTGAGTGTGTCTCTTATATTTCTATCTAGAGAGTTATTTTAACAAGCAAGTAAAGCTTTTACTTTTCCTTGTTCAAATCAGACTTTTGTAACACTATAGATTTCTTCTTGCTCAAGATTTTTGGAAAGAATTATAAAAACTATTTTCTAGCTCTTAATTTTTAAAAGGAGTACAGTTTTTCATTTGGGAGGTATTTTCATATGCACATTTGGGATTTTTGAAAATATTGAATTTTCAAAAAATTTTCTGGGAGGCCAGAAAAATGAATTCTCATTAAATTACTCTTCAGTATTTTTTTAAATTAAACTTTTTGTTTTGAGATAATGGTAGATTCATATGCAGTTGTAAGAAACAATATAGAGATCCCACTTTTACTTTAACATGTTTCCTGCAACAGTAACGTCTTGTAAAACTGTGGTACAATATCGCAACTAGGTTATTGACAGTGATATACTCAAGATATAGGAACAGTTCCATCATCACAAGGATTCCTGGTGTTTCCCTATTATAACTGTATCTACTTCTCAAGTAATTTTTTAAAAAAAGGGAATGATTAGTAAACACCTACTCACTCAATTAAAATGGAGTAAGCTTTTCAAATTGCTATAGCATTATTTGAAATATCAAGAAAGAGAACACCAAAATTTTACCAATGTGTTTTTTAACTGAAGTGTAATATAACTAGGAATGGTAATTTTAAATAGAGGGGAAACTAGATTTGGCTTTTTCACTTAAAGTATTGTAAAGTTATGAGTAGGATGTGTTTCATATTGTGTACCTATCAGTGTTGAAGTTTGTTAACTATAGTGTATAGTAATATACACTCAAATTTAGTACTGTTATTTGGGTAACTGAACCATATTAGACATTTACTTCTGGCGAGCTGTAGTGATGAATTAGAGTAACTGCAGAGTCAGCAGGCATATGAGGAAAAATATAATATTTTAGGATAAATATGGTCTACTGTTAAGTGGCTCATTTAATGTAAAAGTTAAGTAGCAAAGGTGTCATTTAGAGAAAATCTGTATATGAAAATACATTCTTGGAAAACAAAAATTAGAGACAAGATTATAACCATGAGTACTGTGTGCTTTTCGGAGTAGTTCCTATAGTGCTCTTTTAAGTAGTCATGGCTTACAATGGATTTGAAAACCAGTTTGATTAGGTCACAGTATTTTAGAGAATTGTTTATTATATACAATGAGCCATACCTTTAATTAATTATTATTTCCATCTGTTTTTGTTAACAATTTAAACATTTAAAATCATTTTCTTGGATAAGAAGATAAAGATGAAGATACTCAACTTTAAATATAAACACAATTGTTTTCACATTTTAGATTTAATGGGCCTATTTATGATAATCTCTTATTAAAGCCAAATAGTCTTTTTTTGTTCTTGAACAGTTGATACTCGCGTCTGGAATGTCACTGCCTGCTTAGTGTTGTCAGAGACTTGGAAAACTCTTGCCACAAGAGAGTAAAATAACACTATTAGAAAAGGTCTCCTGGGGAAAAAAAAGGAGTTTCTGGACAGTGTGTGGGATATCTTTTTAAAAAAAGTATTTAATAGGACTGCTTTTGGGTATTGCTTGAATATGTTTTTTTGGATGGGAATGTTGAAATTACAAATCTAATGCTTTTGTGCTTAGGGAATAAAATGAAAAGAAGACAAACATTTAAATATATTAGTTCAAAAGACTTCCTGCTTTGTCAAATAGTTGAGCCATATTTACCTTAGATTTATCAGTTAACCACATATTTATTTAGTATTTACTTTGTGCTGGTTGCTATTCTACTAGCTTTTGGGAAGGTGGCAAATGGAGAGCGACATACACCAAAAAAAGTGGAGGCATTTCATTATCTAGACAGGAAGATAAAATGTAAAAATGTGAGGTAAACTTCTATAACATAAAAAATGTCAACAACTGCACATTAATATAGGTTAAATTGAGTCCATAAGAGTAAGAATGTGCTGAGGAGTGAGGGAACTGGCTTAAGGAAAACTCAAAAATGTTGAATTTAAAGTTGACTTTTAAAGGAGATATGAAAAATGAATTAGGGAAGAGAAGAACTGTCCTCCCAGTTGTGGAATAGCATGAAGAGA